TAAGCAAAAAATACAAAGAAATGTTATGTGACATGACAAACTTGGCAATCACACACCATTAATTTGAAAGAGCAAATTTCAACTCATGTGTAACAAATCCAGGTACCAGTTCACTCCCATAATACCGAACAATGTTTGGATGTGAAAATTGACTGAGCAAAGTGATTTCCTGACAGAAAAGAAAAAAGGTAAATAGGGAGAAAAACAATTAAAAGTAAAGAACACAATAGAAGTTTCAAGGACAAAAAAACTTCAAGAAAACTAATGAATAAGCCAAACCTGGTTCAACTGCTTAAGGCACTCTTTGGATGTCCGGTCATCTGCAACAACTTTCACTTCTTTAATTGCGCACATCTGCCCATTCTCACTGTAAATATTAGTTAATAAAGTATTCATTCTTGAATGGTTGTACTGCCATCAAGAAAGAATTTAAGATTGGCTAAAAGACGCAAACCAAATGTATGGACAAACCTGTTGAATCCAAGATAGACCGTGCCAAATGTGCCTCTTCCCAGAAGCCTTCCTTTTTTCCATTTTGATAGATTAACAGTTGAGGCTTCAGCTATACCACAAGTTCTAGGAATTGGCAAAGTAGAAGGCCTGGTAGGAGAAGCCGGTAGAAGATGATTAGGAAATCCGGGTGGAAGAGGCAACCGGTGGCCTTCACTGTTCCCTTCATCCAACCTTCCTGCTGGAGTATCCAAATTAACCCCTCTAGACCGAGGATGCAGAGGCAAAGAACTGGTTGTAGGCACCCTTGAACGGACAGGGCTTTGTGAGACTGGACTATGCCTGCTATCACCAATTCCTCCTCGGTTGTTTAACAGGAAATAAAAATGTTTCTGCAATTAAGACTTACTCCACCTACTGAAAAATGACTTGCCCGACCTACAAAAGAATAAGAATAAAAATACCAGAAAACCACTTAAGCTAAGGGACTCATAAAACCAGATAAGAGTAAAGTGGCAGTGAAACAAAGACTCCTGGGAAAAGAGTCTGGTTAACAATACATTCTCCCTAGTTCAAAAAAAGCGCCTATCAACTCAAGAGTGAAACTGCAATAATCTTTCTCTCCAACCAGGAAACCTAAGCAAAATTTTATGGAAGAAAAAACGAATCTTTGCTGACAAGGGAGCAAAAAAAGACCTGAAAGAGGAGAACTGAGAACGACGATGCGGCTATGATCATCACCTGAGCCAGAAGAGCTAACACTAGATCCTGAATCAGAGCCAGATGCAAATCCTACCCCGTGATCATTTCCAACAGATCCTGAATCAGAGCCAATTGTATAGCAAAGTAATGGAATGTAATTCTACATCCCTACTGCGCCTACACTTTGAAAATCTATATGTTGGTTTAATTAAAATGAACATACATAACTTATTACTTGTGATTGGTATTATTAAAAATAGTAAAAGGATTTAAGATATAAGCATCACAGCAACGAATTAAGTGACATACCTTTCATTTTTCCATGGTCCCAATTCTCTGATGTTGTACGTGCAATTGTTGTTCATTTTCCTAGACCTTTTCCATGAGTAAGAAAAAGTCCAAGTTCGGTGCACTTGGGAGGTACTCCCCTGTCATAAGGCAGAACCCCAATTACTCCTCTATTTAGTAGTCCACTTGAAAACAAAATTACTTCATATGTGGAAGTGAGTACTATATTACATTATTTTTTCAAGTCTACCCTTAATTGGAAGAACTTTAATAGCTTGCGACCCGTGGAACATGAAACATGTATGCAACTGAAAGTGAATGCTGCAAGCCCAACGTTGTGGACTTCTGCAACCTAGTGTCGTCCTCCGATGATTGTCGTCACTCCCTCCCTGCCCACTAAGGTCTACCAGTTTCTTTGCAAATTGCAATGGCCTAGTCACAACACCACGAACAATTAATGGATGTAAAATCCATAGAGAATTAAGAAAAGTAAGTGATTATAAGAAGCATGATCAGAAAGAGTATTTACAGAGACAATGTTTTGTGCTGCGTTTTGTATAAGAAGAGGGTTTGATACTGCAGGGAAAGAAATGTCATGTTTACAGTACAAGGTTTGTACATGGTAATCATGATCCGTAATTAGTATAAGTGTAGAACTAATTATGAAACCTGACCGGTTTGTTTTCAGTCACGTGGAGATCATGTCTCAGTCTCTCTGATCAACCATAATCCAATGCAAGCAAGGTTTGACCTCAGTTCCGGGTTATCTAAACCCAATACTCTTTTCATGTGGGCGTATACATCACTCTGACCCTCTCAGAACATATTGGGCTTAATTACAACTCACTAAAAAAATAATTGGGCAGGGAACATTGGGGGAATTCATAATATACTTTTCTACAAGAATAGGAACCAGTCAGTAATCTTCCAGACGTAGTGTCTCGGTTTAAGCAAATCTAAAAAGGCAGTGAAGCTTTTTATGAAATATTTGATTTATTTGGAGAAGTTAGAGAGTCAAAAATCAGTCTCAGCAGCAAACTACTCAAACTGAAACTCACCCATATGCGTGTTCCATATGATTGTTTTGGTGGCATCAAAAGGTTCATCAAATATTTGATTGTATGCGATCCAACATCTAACGTCATCCAGCCATCTGGTATTGGAGTTGCGCTAACTACCTGATTAATCACAAGCATTATCATTCATCATTTAATTTGCACCTCTAAACTCAAAAGAAAAGATAATCTTTGTCTATGTCTGGAATGCAAAAATTTTAGGTTTGATTTTTACCTTTGAGAATATGGACGAATTTGAAATTTAATTAGAACTCTTTGAAATTCACATCATGTTTTTTTATTGATTAAATCTTTCGAATTTCCTTTCCTTCAAAATTTTTATTCCAATTTTTTTTCCATAGAAGCATCGTCAAGTGCATGAATACCAGGAAGGATTTTCCCTTCAAGTAGGTCTCGGCTTGCACGATCTTCTGTCGAGATATGGCTCATCTTAGCTCCAAGCCCAACCTTCTCGACTTCTGCAACTGAGTTTCGTCCTCAAATTATTGTCGTCACTCCCTGTCCACTAAGCTGTACCAGTTTCTTCGCAATGGCCTAGTAACAAACAACACCACCAACAATTGATGGATGTAGAATCCATAGAGAATTAAGATTAGTAAGTGATTATAAGAAGCAAGATTAGAAATAGTATTTAGAGAGATAAAGTTTTGTTTTGTCCTTCGTATAACAAGAGAGTTTGATCCTTCCAGAGAAAAAATTGTCATTCTTACCGTACAAGCTTCGTACATGCTAATCATGATCCGTAATTAGTTGAAGTGTGGGAGTAATTATGAGATGTGACCAGTTGGAGAAGAATTGTTTGGGTGGCATCCAAAGCTTCCCCAAATATTTGATTGTATCATTTCCAACTTCTAACCCCATCCAGCCATCTGGTATTGCAGTTGCCCTAACCAGGTGATTAATCACAACCATTATCATTCATCATTTAATTTGCACCTCAATACTCAAAAGGAATGATAATATTTGGTTGTGTCTAGAAAAAGCAAAAATTTTAGGGTTGGTTTTTACCTTGGAGAATATGGAGGAATTTCAAATTTGATTAAAACTCTTTGAAATTCACATGATATTTTTTTAATTCATTAAATCATGCGAATTTTCTTTCCCTCAAATTTGTTTTTCCAAAAGTAGAGAACCTATCAGCAAGCATAACATCACGAGGAAGGAACAGTGACACTCCCTTAGACCTGGCCTTCTGAATGAGGGACGTGGCTAGGTCAACTTTGTGTAGAATGCGTCAATTGGTTCTATGTCCAACAGAAGTACCTGGAATAGGGAAACTAAAAAATTAATGCGTTGTGGACTTTTTTGTTTTTTTCTTACCTTCAAAGATACATTGATGCCATTGCTAGCCTTTTTTTTTTTGAAATCTTAGAACTCTGTGCACAGGGTTTATTTTGAAATTACAGCTTGGGAAGTGTTGAGGTTCATGATTTGTGATACTGAGAAACAACTTTTGAGGTGTATGACTCCCGACATCAGGTTCATATTTTCCTGTGTAATCAACATTGCAATAAGCATCTCACAAAATTATGCAACCTGACATTTGGAGATGTGCCTGATGCTAGGAAAGCGGAAGTATAAATTAGGTAATAGGATTCAATATTATGTTTTTGTAGTTGGGTTAAGCGTATGCATGTTTTGAAATTAAAGGTTTGCCAAAAACACACAAAGACTTTAAATTTAAGGATTATTTAGAGTGGGAGATTGAGTAGGTTTTTTGTGAACCAATTGTATAGAGAAGTAATGGCATGTAATTTTACATCCCTACTGCACCTACACTTTGAAAATCTATGTGTTAGTTTAATTAAAATGAACATACTTGACTTATTACTTGTGATTGGTATTATTAAAAATGCATTAAATGTGATTAAAAGAGGTTATTTTATTCTAATTTTACTTTGTTTATGGACAGGGAAAAAGTTTAGAAATGAAAAACTTTCACAGGGATGTAGAATTATTTGTAAACGGGTATACATGAACCCCTATAAGGTGTTGGAATTGTATAAAATACATTTTGTTGAAAGATTTAAAAATAGTAAAAGGATTTAAGATATAAGCATCACAGCAACGAATTAAGTGACATACCTTTCATTTTTCCATGGTCCCAATTCTCCGATGTTGTACGTGCAATTGTTGTTCATTTTCCAAGACCTTTTCCATGAGTAAGAAAAAATCCAAGTTCGGTGCATTTGGGAGGTACCCCTGTCATAAGGCAGAACCCCAATTACTCCTCTATTTAGTAGTCCACTTGAAAACAAAATTACTTCATATGTTGAAGTGAGTAGTATATTACATTATTTTTTAGTCTACCCTTAATCGGAAGAACTTTAATAGCTTGTGACCCGTGGAACATGAAACATGTATGCAACTGAAAGTGAATGCTGCAAGCCCAACGTTGTGGACTTCTGCAACCTAGTGTCGTCCTCCGATGATTGTCGTCACTCCCTGTCACTTAAGGTCTACCAGTTTCTTCGCAAGTCGCAATGGCCTAGTAACAACGCCGCGAACAATTAATGGATGTAAAATCCATAGAAAATTAAGAAAAGTAAGTGATTATAAGAAGCATGATCAGAAATAGTATTTACAGAGACAATGTTTTGTGCTGCGTTTCTTATCAGAAGAGGGTTTGATACTGCAGAGAAACAAATGTCGTGTTTATAGTACAAGGTTTGTACGTGGTAATCATGATCCGTAATTAGTGTAACTGTAGAACTAATTATGAAACCTGACCGGTTTGGTTTCAGCCACGTGGAGATCATGTCTCAGTCTCTCTGATCTAGCTTCAACCATAATCCAATGCAAGCAAGGTTTGACCTCAGTTCCGGGTTATCTACCCAATACTCTTTTCATGTGGGCGTATACATCACTCTGACCCTCTCAGAACATATTGGGCCTAATTACAACTCACTAAAAAAATAATTGGGCAGGGAACATTGGGGGAATTCATCCTCCGATTATTGTCGTCACTCCCTGTCCACTAAGCTGTACCAGTTTCTTCGCAATGGCCTAGTAACAAACAACACCACCAACAATTGATGGATGTAGAATCCATAGAGAATTAAGATTAGTAAGTGATTATAAGAAGCAAGATTAGAAATAGTATTTAGAGAGATAAAAGTTTGTGTTGTCCTTCGTATAACAAGAGAGTTTGATCCCTCCAGAGAAAGAATTGTCATTCTTACCGTAAATGCTTCGTACATGCTAATCTTGATCCGTAATTAGTTGAAGTGTGGGAGTAATTATGAGATGTGACCAGTTGGAGAAGAATTGTTTGGGTGGCATCCAAAGCTTCCCCAAATATTTGACTGTATCATTTCCAACATGTAACCCCATCCAGCCATCTGGTATTGCAGTTGCCCTAACCAGGTGATTAATCACAACCATTATCATTCATCATTTAATTTGCACCTCAATACTCAAAAGGAATGATAATCTTTGGTTGTATCTAGAAAAAGCAAAAATTTTAGGGTTGGTTTTTACCTTGGAGAATATTGAGGAATTTCAAATTTGATAAAAACTCTTTGAAGTTCACATGATATTTTTTTAATTCATTAAATCATGCGAATTTTCTTTCCTTCAAATATGTTTTTTTTCCAAAAGTAGAGAACCTATTTCACATCTCGATACAACCAAAACTTTATTGAAATTGTCACACTGCCAGAAATTCATTCACTTCTCATCTCACTGCCACACTTTTGGTCTCACGAAATGTTGAATAAACATAAGCCACACTTCAGTGTCCATTCACTTAAGACACAAATGCATTAAACAATACACTCGAACACATGTCCATTATTTTTCACATCCCAAATCAAGCTTACATAGTAAGCATACCTTAACAATGCTAAAAACCCCTTAAATCTCAACTCACTGCCACAGTTGGGATCTCACACAAAAAGATAAAAATTTGTGTCACATTTAACATAATAAAGGTTGGAGAAGTATAAGTCATATTCCACTTTGAAATCAGTAAAAACACATATGCAGTATACCATGAACTCAAACACATATGACCTATTTCACATCTCCAATCAACCAAAAACTTTTGGCAAGTTGTCACACTGACAACAACCCATTTACTTCTCTCACTGCCACACTTTGGGTCTCTATAAATTAGATACAAATTTCTTTACACTCAATAATACAATTCTTAAACACTCATTCAATATACTTAAAGCTCAAGCCAAACATTCAAGAACACACTTATGAGCTAGTAGTTCCCCTACCTCTCCATTTCACAAATTTGAAATCAATATATCACACAATTCCATAACTAAACACTACCACTAGATTCAAGAAACAAGTCACCAATTATGAGAACAATACAAAATTATACAAAAAGACCCAAATTAACCCAATTCTCACACATCCAGATTCGCATTAAACTACCAGCTAAAGATCAACACAGCACAATGCATAACTTCTAAATAAGCAATTAATAAAACAACANCACATCAGCTTTTTTCACGGCAAGGTCAAAATACCTTGGTGAGGCATGAGTGTGACACTTCATCTTTCCTTTTTCATTTTTTTAAATAATTTTTTTAAAATTTTTTATGAAAAAAAATGTAGAAGAAAATAGAATACTTTTTTAATAAAATAAATAATAAAAATATTTTTTTAAGTTTAATAAACATAAAAAAATGTAAAAAAATAATAAAAAAATAATGACTTGCCATTATAGAACTTACCACTCCATGCACTTGCCACACGCTGACTCGACTATTTTTGATTGGCTAAAATGTTCCATGTCACCGTGTGGCATTCCATTTTTGCCTTGCCATTGTTCATGCTCTAAGGAGGATGATCTTATTAATTTTTCAATTGTGAAAGAATCGAAAGAATACTTTATTTTTTATTTGAATGAACATTTCCTAACTTGAGAACGAGTATTGTTTTTTTAAGAATGAATACTACTTTATTTTTTATAATTATATTAGACAAATGTGTAAAAATGAGAACTGCTTTATATTAAAAATTAGTACTACCTTATTTTAGAATGAGTACTACGTATTTCGAAATAAATATTTATATTTGTACGAGAATGAGTACTGCTTTACTTTAGAATAGGTACTACCGAAATGTAACTAACTCTAAGTGTGTGTGTGTGTGTGTGTGTGTGTGTGTATATGCTATGTATGTAAAAAATACGATGTAGTAAAGGTGTGGATGAGGATGAGAAAGGTGATGCAGTAAAAAATACGAAGGCTATGTAGGCAATGTATGTAAAAAAAAGAGTTATACCAAAAGCAATTTTCAGAACGCCTAAAAAGTGATTAGAATTGGGGTGTCCAAAACGAAATTCATTTTTATTTTTTAATTTCATTTCTTATTTCTTGAAGCTCTCAAAAAAAGATGCTACTTTTTTTTTCAAAAAACAAAAAACAAAAATATTAACTTCAGACGTACAGATGTAGTATATGTTATCTTTTTTTTTGTAAAAAAAATAATTGTAAATTTTAATAACATCATAAAAGAAATTAATAAAAGAAACAAATAAAGGAAAAAAATGGAAAACAAAAAATAAATGAAAAATAAGAAATGACCGACAGTGCCCCATGTGGTTTGGAAAATAGGCACCAATGTCCCCTCTTCGCCGGAAACTCGGAAAGATGCCCGGAAAATGATCATAGAGGATCAGGGGATATGGATGCAAGGTTTTGAAACACGGATGCTATTGAAATAAGCTTTGAAAAGAGAAAGGATATTAGTGTCTTTTTTCATACCACGTAGGATACTGATGCAATTTGATCGAGGTATGTATACCTTCCATTATAAAAAGGCTTAAATATGCAATTCAATTCTATTTAGTCCGTGCTCAAAGTTTATATGCTCAACCAATATTATGATACACGTCGAAAATTTTAAAAGGTTGCATTTTATACACGTCAAACATTTTAGTCCGTGCTCGAAGTTTTTATTTTAACCCAATATTAGGCTCCGTTCCGTTCAACTTATTTCTTCTAATCTGATCTGTTTTTTTGTAGCTATGATCTGATTGGATCTGATCTGATTAGATATGATCTGATTAGATTTGATCTGATCTGATTTTAATAAGAATAAGAAAAAAAGGAGAAAAAAATAAATTGAACGGAATGAGGTCTTAGAGGCTGTTTGGCAACTTCTGAATGGGTAAGTGCTGAACCAGTAAGAGGTCTGAACCATTAAGAGCTAGTATAATGCTTAACTATTCAGAGGCAAATGTCTGATCAATTCAGATAAGAGGTCTTAACCATTCAGAGACAAATCTCTTAACCATTCAAACATCTGAACCATTAAGAGGCTGAAACAAACAGTCTGAACCATTAAGTGCTGAACCATTCAGACATCTGAACCATTAAGAGGCTGAAACAAACAGCCCCTTAGTCATTTGAAACGGGTGTCTCTATAATAAATTAATTACTCGTGCACTAAAAAAAGTTCATTAATTACACTAATTAATGTTTGAAACTTGAGTGTAAATTGAGCATTTAAGTCTCCCATATCTCTGCTCTGCAAATAAGATCGTCAATCATTGAACATTGTTGAAATTTAGGGCTCATTTGGCTATGTTTACGAAATGCAACCCTATCATTTCTGTCAATTATCATTACAAACTTTATCGTTATTAGAGTAAAGTCTTTAAAAAAAATTGATAACCAGATCTTAGAACTTAATTACTAGAACCTAGGTTGAAAGCATGATAATAGAGAAAACGATGGGTGTATACAAATCAAATACTTATAATTCGATTCGTAATTTGTATTCGAATACATTGATTCGAATTGGATTTAGCCGAATTCAAATTCGAATCCGATTTTACTGTTTGAATATAATCAAATACGAATACGAATCTTAGCATATCCAATTCGTTAAGAATTCAAATTATTCGAATAATACCAATATATACTTAGTATATATTTATATTTAATTATATTCTTTGTATACGAAGTACTTTTTATGAATATATTATACATTACTTATATATGTAGGGAAAATATGATAAACTGTCTAGATCTTCTATTTGAATTTGTGAATTTTTTAGTTTATGTTACGGAGTAGTTCTTAAAAGTAAATAACTACTCTTTTTACTTATGATTTTTGTAAAGTAAAAATTTGTTCTATTTTCGAATACAAATATTCGAATACAAAGTCGAATATTTGAAATATGAGCTCAAATCAAATACAAACCTTTTTTAAAATTCCAATTATTAACGAATTTGAACTCGAATACATACCATCCCAAACAAATACGAAGCGAATATATGGATATTTGATTGACTTGATTCGTATACACACCCTGCATAACTTGATACTTGGAAGTTGAATATAACAATCCGAATCTAAAGACTAGAACTTAGAATCTAGAATTTGGATTAGGAAATTTTGCAAAGATTACATATTCTTCAGTAGTCCTTAAGTTTTGCGAAGATATAATGTGGAACCAAAATAACATCCCAAGTGAAGAAGATATAATTAGGAACCACAATGTTTTGTTTAAACATATTTTGGGTCCTTCAAATATAGCACTCTAAATTACTTTTTGTTTTTCATCTCTCCAATTTACAGTACTTAACCGGTACGTTTAGTCATTCCCATGGTAAACTCTTATAAACGGAGTATGAACATTGTTGACATGAATGCAA